TACAATATTTTAATTTTGAATATATTATGACATTGATTATTATAATGATGTTTGATTTATGTCAGAAAGACACTCGTATCTGTTTTTGTTATTGATAACTAGCTCTAGATTGTTATTATGCTTATGTACAAAGTTATTACATCTCTATTACATTATCTTTCGATACATATTTGAGTTCTCTACAAATAGTTTTCCATGACTTTTGGTGTAAAATAATTAGGGAAGCAGGAATTCAACAATTTAGAATTTCCCATTGAGTTTGACGATTCATTACCCTGTATATGTTATTCAAAAATACTCATTGCTCATAAAACAATACACAAACCAAAGATCATAGCAATATATATATATATATATATATATATATATATACAATGAAGTAAGTTTCAAAAGAAATAAATCTTTTGGTCACGTGGATATCGGTCAAAGGAAAAATAATACAAGGAAATCACAGTTCCATTCCTATATTTGAAGACGTTTCGCTTGTGGAATTTACAAGCTTCATCAGTTCAATCTAAAAAATTTTACAATGGTGGTAGGCAATAATATAAAAAAACATGGAAAAATAACTTACGAATGGTGAGTGAAGAAAAATAAGGTGTTAAAAAAACACACCATTCTCTTGTTAACTGTGGTCAATACATTAAAATGTTGTTAAAATCTTAGTTTGAATGTTTCCTGTTGAAAAGGAGTACGACCGTCAATCCAATATATAATCTGTCTCAAGGTGGAGAAATAAAAGACAAAGTTGATAGGCTACTTTATCTATTTTGAAGACGTTTCGCTTTCGTATTCTGAAAGCATCATCTGTTCATCTATCAATATGAGAATCACACAATCGTGGAAACGATGTTATAAGTGTTACCTTAAAAAGACATGTAGCACTCAAAGATATTAACAAGTTGGTAACGAGTTGTGAATAAAACTCAAGTAAATGGACATTATACGGTGATATTGTATAAACAATCAATTAACTAACAACATATAGCAACTTATTAAAAAATTAGCACAGCAACTGACCATGTGGTCTAAGTAAATGAAATATTTTATTTAATCTTAAGTAGTGAAAAACAACCAAGAAAATCATAGATTTACTTCCAACTATTTGATAATTATTAAGCTTTGATTTTAATATTCAATTCCACGAGGAAACTAAGTTCCTGTAGCTGGCTGTATACCATATATCACAAAAAAAATTTGTTTAAAATCCTTTATAAAAGGTATATAAAAATGCCTCAAACGGGCTATCACAAACACATTGCCAAACTTTTTCTGATTAAACAATCCATCATCAGTGCAAACGGTTGTACATGCTAGTAGCCACCAAAATATATGGGTAAAAACCTTTTAAATGTTATAAATTTGAAGTTGTTTTACATTATTAGTATTTCTAATTTGTGATGGTTAAGTTACCGTTGGATAGGTAACATGGCGGCGTATGACTCTACATGAGTAAAATGGTCCTGAGACGAAGTGTCTACGAGGACCTGTTGATAACAACTCCAAAACTCCAAAAGAGTTGTTATCAACAGGTCCTCGTAGACACTTCGTCTCAGGACCATTTTACTCATGTAGAGTCATACGCCGCCATGTTACCTATCCACCGGTAACTTAACCATCACAAATTAGAAATACTAATAATGTAAAACAACTTCAAATTTATAACATTTAAAGGGTTTTACCCATATATTTTGGTGGCTACTAGCATGTACAACCGTTTGCACTGATGATCGATTGTTTAATCCGAAAACGTTTTGCAATGGGTTTGTGATAGCCCGTTTGAGGCATTTTTATATACCTTTTATAAAGGATTTTAAACAAAATTTTTTTTTCTTTGATTTTAACTTTAGGTAGCATTATTAAAGTGATGTTATTAAAAAATTATTTTAAAAAGTAGTATAAATGAAGTTACCGATCAAAGCCTTACAGCTGCTGCCGGAAAAATGGCGTTAAATGAAACAGACCGAACTAAACCGTGAAAAGACAGCCAACCTTGAGGTCAAAAATTTTTTGACAGAGCAACAAGGTAAAGGTACCACCCCAAATAATTGGGCGGTCTATTTAAAAGTTTAAATGAGTTTGGATGACAACCCGCTTGTAAGAGACAAACCAATGAAAGAAATTGGTATTGTAATAGCAATTCCTCGCATTAACCAGTCTAGAACTAACAAACAGGAGAAATTCATTCAACCTCACATATAATTAATAACGTTAACCATTATGGCTGGATAATCCGCTATATATATATATATATATATATATATATATATATATATATATATATATATATATATATATATCGCACCTTGAAAACCATATGGCAATATCTGCAATTTTTTCGTGAAATGACCTTTGAATGCAGTCTAATAGAAAAAAAATCTATTTTTTAATGCTATATAGCAGCATCTACAACGAATTTTAAATTCGGCACCAGAAAGATACGTCCTTATGGCTTTTGTAAAAAAACCATTCTTCTTTTTATACCATCAGGCATTATCTGCAGTTGTTGCTCTATGGTTCTAAAATAGGAACAAAACTCGGATCTATCTGGCAATATCAGCAGTTAATGCCAAATAAATGCTACATTGCCTGTGACTACGTTTTATCTGTTGTTTTCATGTTGTGAGTAAACAATCGTGTTTAATTTAGTTAAACGTAGTAAGAAGCAATTCAAGAACATGAACCATAGAAGATTGAATTTTCTACAATCTTATAGGTTATTTTTCGTGTAATAAATGATGTTGGATTAACCCTTTGTGGACAGACTGTACTTAAAAGTACCATAATGTTGTCAGGTCACATTTATAAACGTGTCTACATTTCACTGACAAAAATCACTAGAATTTCACTAGATTAAAAAAAAAATAAATTTCTATGGACAAACATAATAAATGTTATATTTTCGCAATATTTTCAATTCAAAAGTTAAAGCCCTTAACGCAAATACCAATATAATATATAACAATATCAATGCTTATTATGCAGAAGGAATTATTCCAAACAACCATAATTCCAATTTTATTTAATAAAATAAAGAAAGGAAGCAAAGTGCTCACGTTATGTATTTGAAACAATTATTATATAATATTAAATAAAATTACATAAAATTTGGCGAAGAAAAATGTTCGGTGTTCGGAAATTACGCTACGTTTGGGACCATATTTAACACGGACTTTAATATAAGCTCCTTTAAGACCAAAAAAGACTTCTGCTCGCTATGTGAAAATTACAAAAATTCATTAGATAAATCTACATTAGAAGCAGCCTATAATACTCACCGTCAAGAAATGGAACTTAGTAGAAAAGAAAATGAATCAAAATCTGCAAAATCCAACACTTGCATTACTGCCTGTTTTGACTTACAAGCCGTACTACCGACACTTTCAGGCGATATCCCCTTATTTTATTATAAAAGGAGATTATCAACATTTAATTTTACAATTTTTGACCTGGCTACAAATGCAGGACACTGCGGTCTATGTTTCGAGGGAATTGTTAATCGTGGTCTTGCAAATAACGTCGTGCCTGTTATCATTTCTGAGGAACCATGCCAGAGAACAGGCAATGATATATTCAGATAACTGCAGTGGGTAAAATAAGAATAAGTATATTGTCTGTCTTTATCTCTATGCAATACAGAAATTGCACATACCTAAAATTACCCACAAATTTTTGATAACGGGTCACTTCCAAAATGAGAAACATGCATTCTTTGATTGAGAAACAAAAAAAAGGCGTTAGGAAGAACAATTTATGTGCCTTCGCAATGTGCCACAGTAGTTCAAATAGCGAAAAAATCAGGCGAACCTTACAAAATGAATGAAATGCCTAAATCGAATATAATCTACTTTAAAAAATTATGTAAGGAAATGGGAAACAATTATAGCGTTGACGAAGAAGGAAATCAGGTTGTCTGGAATGAGTTTGAGATGATCAAGGTGAAGAAGACACTTGAAAATAAGTTTCAGGTTATATATTTATTTATTTATTTATTTATTTATATTTATCATTATTAATAGTAATATAAGGCGAAGACAACGAGGGTTGGTGGCTAATACGAAACTAAGTAAGTCATATTCGAAACCACCAGGAATATCCACTCGAAAAAAAAAAACAAGATCTGCTTTCACTATCTAAGGCTAATGTTATTCAAGAGCACTACCATAGGTTTTATGCAGATTTACATGTAAACAATGGAACAGTAGAAACCAAATAAACAGATTACAATATGCGTGACTTTGATTAAGTGTTTAAACCAAAAATTTTTAATAAATAAGTACAATCTTAAATAAAAAAACTTTTATTCGATATGAATTTTACTGTATCATTTTCCAAAATTAATATATTTTTTAAAACCATATGGCCGTATGTGCTAAAATACCTATTTCCTGAAGAGAATTTCACATACTCCTTACTGCATATAAAAATATGCAAAATTAAAGATAATTATGCTAAATACCAGGTTTGTAGCTTAATTTTTGGAATTACAGTAAATAATATTAACTTTAAAAAAAATTAAAACGCTCATAACTCAACATGATGATTTTTGCAGTTACTGCCATATGGTTTTCAAGGTGCGATATATATATATATATATATATATATATATATATTATATTTATATATATATATATATACATATTGAACGATATAAATTCGTCAACTTCGCTCTAGGTGGTTGGCCAACGAAATGTTGTCAAATAATTATATTATAAAAATCCAATACTTCAGCGTGCTGCTGGATTCTGAACTCGTACAAAAACAAGTCAAAACTCTATCCAAAAAGGTTGCCCCGCCCATCACGTATAAAAATTGAAATCTACACTTGTACATTTGAGCAGTGTTGCCAACCGGAGGAAAATGTTCGTTATTTATTTGTTTCTGTCACGTTTCATGACAGAAATCACATGCCATGAAATTCGATCAATAACGACGTATTTCAGTTGAGTTAATTTATCTTTACCCGTGCGTCATGATTTCTTCTTCTTCAAGTTCCACTCCTATCGGAGATTGGAAATCATTCTGGCAATTATAATTTTGTTGGTTACGCGCCTGAATAGTTCAATTGAACTGCATCCAAACCATTCACGGAGATTGCGTAGCCACGAGATTTTACGTCTTGCTACGCTTCTTTTACCTTTGATTTTACCCTGCATTATATTTCTTAGTATTTCGTACTTTTCACCTCTCATGATGTGCCCCAAGTATTTCAATTTCCTGATTTTTATGGAATTTAAAACTTCGCATTGTTTTCCTAGTTGTTCGAGGACTTGTTCGTTTGTTTTGCGATCCATCCATGATATTTTCAAAATACGTCGGTAACACCACATTTCGAATGCTTCTAGGTTTTTAATGTTGGAGTTTTTAAGTGTCCAAGCTTCAACTCCATACAAAAGGGTAGAGAAAATATAACAACGAAGCATTCTTATCCGGAGCGATATATTGATATCGCGATTACAAAAAAGTTTTCTCATTCTATTAAAAGTTAACCGTGCAATTTCAATGCGGCATCTTATTTCTTTTGTCTGATCAGTATCTTCTGTGATTCATGCTCCAAGGTATTTGTACGAAGATATTTATTCAATTTCTGTATTATCTAGTACTAACTTAACTTTGATGTTTTGTGCTTTTGTAAATACCATGAATTTGGTTTTCCTCAAATTTATTTTTAGTCCATAATCGTTGCAATATATATTTAGTTGTTCAGCAAGGTGTTGCAGTTCTTCTAGTGTTCCTGTCAGAAGGACGGTGTCGTCAGCATATCTTATGTTATTAAATGGCTCACCGTTTATTATAAGGCCCTCACTGATCTCGGCAAGCGCTAATTCTGAGATGGCTTTACTGTATAAATTGAATAACAAGGGTGATAAAATACACCCTTGGCGGACCCCATGGCAAATCTGGATATCTACGGTCAGTTCGTTTTCAACTTTCACTTTTGCTGTTTGGTTCCAATTAAGGTTACAGATGATTCGAATGTCTCTACAGTCTATGTTTTTATTCAATAAAATTTCTTTAAGCCGATTATGCTGCACTCTGTCAAATGCCTTCTCAAAATCAATGAAACAGCGTCATGATTTAAAGCATACGAATTCAGTCGGAAATTTACTCAACGCAACAGCAAGTGACAAAGTGGTTATGACAATCTGTGTGAATAAGGTTAACTTTAAGGAAAATACCATAAAATTTTCAACTGCAATATAAAGTTAGTTATGAATATAACTGGACAAAAAATAGCAAAATAGTCAACAAACTGGCAGCCACAAAATAAACAAACCAGAAACGTCAAAAATTGTACTTACAATCTGAAAACGTCCATATACAATATGATATATAAAAATAGATTTCCTAAAAGACAAATTTTGATTTATTGACTTTAAAGAAGGCCTCAGGCTGAGTACAAAATTAATTGATCGAATCCTAACATGCGATATAAATCTTCTGAGATATATAATATTCTGTTTTAAAAGGTTCAAGAAAGTTATGTTTTTTACATATCTTAAGTTTTTTAAGTTTAAAATTTAAGTTTTGTTTTTAATACTAAAGCATGAAAAATAAAACCAAAGCCGGATTTTAGGAGGCCTGTTATATAGTTTCTGCAAATAAGATAGTACTCAAATTCTTACAGAATATAAAATAGTAGTAAAAAGTAGAATATATGTTACACCCAACTAAGATACCTACTCACATACAGGAACAGTAACAGTCGAATCATAATTTTAACAGATAAAATCAGATTCCACTTTCAGACAACGATGGCAAAGTAATAGCATATATCGCTGTTCCGGAAGTAGGTATAATGACATAACGGTAAAATTTTGAAAAATGACTTTGTGAAAAATATTGTGTTGGAGGGATCAAAACTGCATTTTCAACATATTTGTAAATCGTCGTAATTGTACTTACGAATTTCGCCATGACCGGTGATTCCGTAAGTACAGTTATGATGATTTAAAAATATATAGAAAATGTAGTTTTGAGCCATCCAACACAATAAAGTCATTTTTCAAAATTTTACAATTATGTGTTTATACTTCTGGAACAGCGATATATTGATTTCCAAGGACGTAGAAATTCTTTATGATATCAAGCTTATCTGTACTGCAGTTCTACAAGTACTACTTAATACAAATCTATTTCACTTTCACTTAATGAACTTTGGGGGAATGATTAGTTTAGAGCACTCAACGTAACCAAATATATTTTCTCTTTTTGAAGAACCTCCATAATTATTTTATTATAAATTTGAAATATTCTTTGCAACTGATGGAATATTTTAAATCTTGCAACAGCGGCATTTTTTCGCCAAATTTATTGCGCACGAACCTAGGACTGGATTCAAAATTGAAACCGTGAAAATGCGAGAGTGAACCTACTGAACCTTGAGCGGTGTTGCCAATTTCATTCCTCTAAATGTTATCCAAATAAGGTGTTAGCCATAAAATATTTACAGGAGAGAAAGGAAATAACTACAAACCATTAAATTTATTTTTGTTATTAGTCTGTTGTAGTAGATTGGTAAATACAATGAAAAATATAGGCAAATATCCGATTTATTTAAAGATACGAAGAAGAGATAACTTTCAAAAAGATGCGCAAATCGGATTATTACACAGCGATTGGCAACATTGACTTTAGGCGGAGCTCTAGACTATGGTGCGTCCTAAAAGGAACAGATAGTTGAACGATATTTTATACAATGTCTGTCACCGGGTATGGATTTATATTTGTCCAAGTTTTATATTGGTCCACTATTTCAAATGCAGTTCAAACGGACATATATTAAATTGTATGATCCGTTTTAAATTCGTTCAATCTGTATATATATATATATATATATATATATATATATATATATATATATATTATATATATATATATATATATCTATTTATTGAAGATTTATATATATGTATATATGAAGACGTTTCGCTTTCTAATAAGAAAGCATCATCAGTTCATCTAAAAAGAACAGTATGAAAAACCAAACATCCATAGAAAAGTTATTTCAATTGTGTTATCTCAAAAAGACATTTAGCAGTGAATGATCTTAAATGTATAAAAAAGCTTACTACAATGTACATTCTAAGATCATGTTGTATAAACAATTAATTGAAACTAGATGCAGTTTACAAATTAACAAACTTAGCACAGCAAAAGAACTAGAAAGATCGTAAGATGCACTTTTAACGATATATTATTAGTTAAATTTAATTTTAACCTTAGGTAACATTACTAATAAATTAAGAATGAAATATAATATTTAAAAGTAAAATGAAGTTACCAGTCTTTAGCTTATAAGGTGCTGAAAGTAAATGAAAAGCAACAGGTTTAACACCCACGCAAACAACGTGAAAAGACAGTGGCCTTGAGGTCAAATTTGACAAAACATTAAGGCAGTTACCAACCTCTATTGCACGAGAAGATTATTCAAAAACAAAGTTTAAATAATCATATGATAATTCACACCGATGAAAGACGTTACAAATGTGAAATTTGCAGTAAGAAGTAAGGAAAAAGTATAACTAAATTTAAAAGGAAAATTAGAATGATAGCCGACATGATTGGTTAGCATTATAAAAATTTTTTGCTTTTTGCATTTATTCAGCTCACATAAATATATACCTTGGTTTTTATTTCAGGGACTTACATGAAGGAGACCTCAACGAAAATTACAAAAATATTAGATTTTCCCAATACAAATGCTTTGAAAATACAAACTGGACAGAAACCTAATAAATGCCAAATTTGTGGTAAGCAATTTGCCCAAAGAGGAGTTTTAAAGACACATATGAGAGTTCACACTGGTGAAAAACCTTATAAATGTGAAATATGCAGTAAGAAGTTTACGCAACAAACCAATTTTAATAATCATATGAGACTTCACACTGGAGAGAAACCTTATTCATGTGAAATATGCAGTAAGAAATTTACCCAACAATCCAATCTCAATGAACATATGAAACTTCACACTGGTGAGAAACCTTATACATGTGAAATTTGCAATAAGAAGTTTACCCAACAACCCAATTTTAATACTCATATGAGAGTTCACACTGGTGAGAAACCTTATACATGTGAAATATGCAATAAGAAGTTTACCCGTCAATCCCATTTTAATAATCATATGAGAGTTCACACTGGAGAGAAACCTTATAAATGTGAAATTTGCAATAAGACGTTTACCCAACAATCTAATTTAAATAAACATATGAGACTTCACACAGGTGAGAAACCTTATACATGTGAAATATGCAGTAAAAAGTTTACTCAAAAACCTCATTTTAATGATCATATGAGAGTTCACACTGGTGAGAAACCATATACATGTGAACTATGCAGTAAGAAGTTTACTATAAAAACTAATTTTATTGATCATATGAGAGTTCACACTGGTGAGAAACCTTATCAATGTGAAATTTGCAATAAGAAGTTTGCCCGACAATCCAGTTGTAATAAACATATGCGAATTCATACCGGTGAGAAACCTTATAAGTACATGTGAAATTTGCAATAAGAAGTTTACCCAATAATTCAATTTTAATAATCTTATGAGAGGTCACACTGGTGAGAAACCTTATACATGTGAAATATCCTTTAAAAAGTTTTCTCGCAACAATTTTTTAAATTAAAACATGGCAATTTTCACCAGCGAAAGAGTTTATAAATGTGCTATTTGTGGTAAGTAATTTATTCAAAAACAAAATTTAAATAATCATCGATAATTCACACCGATGAAAGACGTTATAAATGTGAAATTTGCAGTTAGAAATTACTATTTAAATGGGAATAAGCCATAATTAAAGGTTAAAGTACGTTTATGGACGATTCTATTTCCACTTCGGAAATCGTTCTCAAAATACAAACATTAGTAAATTAAACAAATTTTGTTTTTTTGTTACTTAGTGAAAAATTCTTCTAATAATTTAATTTTATCTGACTCATCTATATTGACAATTCAGACATACATTATACATTTTAAAGTAGACGACTTTAAAATGATATTGCCAATATTGTTGAGTTGCGCTCCTGGGACGACTTCACTTATAAGATAGTTCATTCGATTACATGAAATCAACTGACTATATTTCAGTCATGCCATTGAACCCTATGTTAATTATCCCATGCGTGGTTACATATTTGAGATCTATCAGATTCTCTATTTTTAATATAAGATTGATGTTCACTTATTCTAACATTTAATGGCCCTGATGTTTCACCTAAATAAAACTGGTACCATTCACAAGGTATTTTATAAATACAATTCAGTGTTAGGTTTGGTTTTGGACAAAATAGATCTCAACGTGTTTGTTGTTTTGAATGTTTTATTAATATATATTATATTATGATCAAATTGTGTAAGAAATCAAAACGTAAACAAAATTCTTACTCTAAAAAAGCGGCAACACTTTAAAAACAATTTTGCCACACACTAAACTGTCATTAAAATTTGAAGTATTCCCGTATCAGTTGCGTACAATTGTCTAATCTATTTAATTAAAATTATTATTTTGTGGAATTTTAGACTTAAAGAGTTATTTCATAAAATTTATATTATTAATAATAACAAATGTTTTTGGTTATTTAATCAATATAATTATTACATCTTTCTGTATATTATACCATGTTGACGCCTATGAAAGATTGAGTAGTTCCATATGGATTTCGTATTATTAGCTGCGTTACGAAAACTTGAACAAAGATTGCCGTTCTGGAAATTTTAAATATAAGTGACGTCACTTTATATAAATTGTGACGTTCAACGTTTCTACTTTGAAAAATGGTATACAAAGGACTTCTCTATCTTATAGGCAATCTGTGAAGTGGCAAATTCAAATTAAGGCTTCTTGTATTATATTCATAATTGGGAATCAGGTGATAAAAAAAAATAAAATTTTTAATAAGGAACATAATACATTCAGATATATGTATAGATGGCTGAGAAAGTGAGTATATTGAGTGATTTGAATCGACCTCTACAGGATTCTCCCGCTTTTTTCCTAAGATCACCCGTACTGCCTTTTTTGAACTATAAAGACAATTGAGCTATCTACTGCAGCACCCCAGAAGATTACTCCATATCGGATAACAGAATAAAAGTTTTTATTCAGTTTTTTTCAGCTTTTTATTCAGCCTTTATATAAAAAGGCCCTATTCAGTTTTTTTGTTGTGTTTTGTTGATTAAGTAAAGAATTGTATTTGCGTTTTTCTGTCCTGTAAATATCTTTATAATCAACATTATTGGTAGACACTGTAAACAAAACAGCCTAGATTTACAATGTTTTATATCGTCAGTTTTAAAGTACTTTTGTGATTTTTTTTATTTGCTGTATTTATCTCTTTGAGTGGAAAACATTGTAGAACAGTTTTCTGAACTATATTCATAAAAGCATCCCACTAATTATCTACCTCTTTATGTCTCAAAACCAGATACCCAGTCTACATTACCTAACATGAATTTACAAAACTTTTATTCTCCTTGCTAAATATTCGTTTTTTTTTATTATATTTGACTCAAATTCATTTAATTCAAATTTTACCATTTGATCAGAATGGTCAGATGTATGAGGATTGAATACAAGAGAATCAAATATGTCAAGATTTGCAAAATATTATCTATACAGAATTTTTTATTACCTTGTATGCGTGTATAGTCATTGAGGGAAGGTTTAATATCAAAGGAGGTCAAAAACATTTTTAATGTGTCTGGCCACCTCCCACCCTCAAGCAGCATATCCAAGTTAAAATCAGCAGCCAGAAAAATGATGGAGTCCTTGTCAATTAAATCACAAAGTATTTGGTCCAATTTGTTTATTAAAACTTGTGGGCCTTCTGTTCGGTAGATGGATAGGATTACAATATTATTAATTCGCACCTTTGCAGCGAAACACTCAAACACCCTTCTTTCTGATAAACTAGAAGTATCTTCCCGGGCTTTTACAATAAACGGCGTCTTTGATGCACTGCCACCATGCTCCTGTGAACTGCTTCTACAATATGAAGAGATCAGTTCAAAATGCCGCACATTGTAGTCCCGCAGTTGTTCTTTTGTGTTTCAGTGCTCAGTTAAACAAAGAGCAAAGCATTATCGTGATCTTCTAGGATAAAATTAATGGCATCAATACTTGTTTTAATTGATTGCGTATTTAAGTGGATTACTAATAATTTCTTTTGGTATGTGCCGTAGACTATCTTTTGACACTG